GCCTGTTTGGTGATGGATCCCCGGTCCGGTCGAGCAGAATCGCGACATGTTCGTTTCAGTCTGCCCGCATCGCCGTCGTCGTGTGCAAACTCCAGCTCCACGGAAACGGTTGTGGGCTCCACTCACTCTAGCCAAGCATCCACACTCACGAACTGTTTTGCCACGGTGATGGGATTGCACCTTCCCAAGCTTGCCGCACGTGAGTTTTTTTTCTGTTTTCTAATTCGTTTTTTTTTGCTCAACAAAATCACAATGGCAATTGTCGATCAGTTACGTAGCCTTCCAACTGAGATAAGCTCGACTGTCGCACCTATCGAATATGCATTGCTTCACACTACACTGAGTTGTACTGTGATAGCCTATTCAGAATAAATGAGAATCAATATTTCTACAAACCCTATTTCTGAAGTAGCAATACCAGTTAGGTTCTATTGTATTCTATCAAATACATGGCGTTTTACGGGACTCATTAGTTGTTGGTGTAATGCTAAATATGATGGGCTTGTGCAAAATTCTCCGCTTCGAGGCTTTAGCTTACGATTTTTATCTACTTTCCATAGAATAACTAAATAGGACAGTCACATGTTTGCATACTGAAATGTTTAACCTAACTTTTTAATTGTTACTTTTTGTTGTCGGTGAACGATTCTAGGATCTGTTGATGGAACCACCACATCCCAGAGTCGATCTACCGGATCAAATGATATTCTCACGTCCTCTGATGAAGCGAGCAAAGCATCGGCACTCTGGACTCATCATTCCAGCCCGGTTCCATTCCGCTTGACCCCACATTTGGCTGGATTCGTTTGTCTTCCCGGTGCTCCGGCCAATGTGGGTCCGTTCGCTATCAGTCTAACCACAGTCGCTCAAGCCTTGGCTGCCGCCCAACGTCCTAGTCACGTATTGACCAGTCTCTACCGCACATTGCTCCGTGCAGATTACATCCTCTGGCATCGAGGTCGACAGGCCGCTGTTCATGCATTCCAACTGTTGTTGGGTGCCGAGAATGAGACCCCTGCCCAGCTGGAAAGCGATTCCAGTGACTCGGATTCGGACACTGAGACAGGTGGATGCAAACGCAAGACCAAACTGTTCAATGAGCTTGGTGTCAAGGCGGTTGACTCAGTCCGAAGCGACAAAACGGGCTCCGTCGGGCCTGCACAGTCCACATCCCAGCAACATCAGCAGCAGCAACAACAACAACAGCAGACGAACGTTGTCCAGCACCAAAAATCCAAGGATTGTGTCTTGTTGCCAGATTTAACCAACGAACAGCTCATCCAGCTAATCACCTTGACGCTAGATGCGATGAACGCGAATCTGAAAAGTGAGTGTTTTACTGAAATAGAAATGCTCGTATTTAGTCAATGCAAACTTAAAGGCAACATCGTCTCTGTGTGTATTGATATACATCTGTGGGAGTTTATCTATTGCCCATCCACTGTACACATCCGATTCGCGGTGAAATATTTGTCTAATGACCAGAAAAGAATCCTTTTACTTCTGGTACGAGACAACAATTGGTCGGAATTTTTTAATGAACTCGACTGTTCTATCGTGTTGTACTACGCGCAATAGAAAATAGATAAAACTCTCACACTGTTTGATTTGTGAATCCGATTTACTCCAAGTAATCATTTTTCGTGATTGACAACCTCCTTTTGCAGGCGTTTCTGACTACTCCGGTGCGGAACCAGGGACTTGGAGCTCCATTGCAGCAGCCACAAACCCGTCTAACTTGATTCAAATGGATCCAGCTCATTTGCCCTGGGTATGAGCACCTTTTGAACAGAAAACATGCGGCTCGTGGGTTGCTATGGATCTCATTCTAACTCTTCCCTTTCTACTTCTCAATGGAAGCCGTAAGGGGATTCACTGTATACTCCAGTCCAATCCGTGGACAATCAGATCCTCCACTGACCCGCTTTGCCCCCCCCCCCGCCCCACACACACGAATTGCATTTGTATTTTCGTATTTTGCAAAGGTTTTTATTGAAATACCCCACAGCCCCGATCCCATTGTTTCTTTACTCCTCTCGGTTGTTGTAAAAACTGAATCTTGGCATCAATGCATCCNAATGCATCCGTTTATTCTCAAAGCAGTGAGGTGGGTAATTCTTAACCCTGATGGGGCTTTGAATCTTGTTGTAATTGGACGAGAAACAGCTTTATACGAGTAGAGCAAAGTAGAAAAAATATACAGTACTCCTAAAATAGAATTGCACTGAAGCAGGGGCAAACAGAATCTCGTGACCGGATCAATCTCAATGCAAGTGCTATGTGATCCACAATAGGTGGTACACCTGAAAATTGCTTCTCCGTCTATTGCGATTCCACCACTCGGGGCCCACGGTTGTTGTGATTGTCAGTAGGTAATTTTGCACGAGTACCATCAAGGTTACAAGAGCATTTGATAAACGCATGTTTTTCTCTGTACCATAATAATACCAATAATCCTGAATGATTTTAACAATGTTGAGGTGAAATCGAGGTGTGGTATTGGGAGAAGTGGGAGCTTAACGACACCCGTGATTTTATTCACAATAAGTTACCTACTGACAACGACAACAGTAGTGGGACTTGGATGGGCAAAAGCAATTTTCAGGAGTATGACATCCAACAGCTTGGAGTATTTTCGTTGATGTAATCAGCTGGCGTGTTGTCTCATGCTGGTGAGAAGCAATTGGTGCACGCGCCACTTATTTCCGAACACAATATTCGTGCTCAGTACTGAAATCTTGAGAGTAATTTGGAACCACCGTGGGAATTTCTCGCTCCTGGCGCTGCCTTTATATGTATCACGC